TAGGAGAAACCAGACAGAGGTGACCGATCTGGAATCCATGATTAAACTCATGAGGTAAGTGGTCACTCCAAGACGGTTTCTTCTTTCGTCTTTTTTCTCTTCTCTTCATTTTGAATTTTTCATTCTGTATTTTCTTCTTTTCACTTCTCTTTTCTCTTTTTTCTCTTTCCTCCTTTTGTGTCTTTTTTCTTTATCCATCCTCTTCTGTCAAATTTTCATTTTTCTTCTCAATTCTATTCTCTTCCCTCTTCTTCCCTCATCTCTCTCTCTCTCTCTCTCTACCTCCTCTTTTCTCTTTTTTCCATTCTTCTTTTCTCTTTATTTCTCTTCTTTCATCCTCTTTTCTAGCTTCTCTCCTCTCCTTCCTTTCTTCAATTGTTTCCTCTTCTTTAGTATAGATATCCAGCTAAGGAATTTGAGGCAAAGAAGATACCCATTAACTACATGTTCATGTTCATAATGTGACCTGCCTACTCTTCCTGCCATCTTTTAATCCATGCGTAACTCCTTTATACTTTCACCCCTTGAAACAGGTATGATAACCATGAGCATGACCCCTTTCTGCTCACGACTGTTACCCCCCCCCCCCCCATACAGTACAGAGAACAGCTGCCAGCATCACTACTGCATCTTCAAATTTTATGATATGAATGTTTGGACCCCAAATGCCCCTCTCGCCTCTTTTAATCACCAGGTACATCAAACTCCGTTATATATCCGATGATCCTATTGTACGACCATTTTTACATTGTGAACATTAAGCAATTATTATTAGTCCCTGCCATGGAATGCTACTTTGTAGTTTCAATAAAGCATGGAATTGAATGGAATTGATTTGAATATACTTTACTCATATCCGCCCCTTGTCACAGGTATAATAACTACGAGCACGACCCTCTGTCCGCGTGTGACTGCAAACCACCGTACAGCGCGGAGAACGCTATCGCTTCCCGGTCCGATCTGATGCCAGCCAAGGGCCGCTATCCATTCTCAGCCCTAGGACATCGCCTCCATGGAGCTACTGATATGAAGGTAATGGGGGTGGATTGAAGGTTCTGTAGTTGTGTGGGACAGCTTCTCCGTGGAAATTTCCCATTTTCACTTACTGAAGTTGAACTGCAGTCCTGGCCCCGACACTAAACCCAACTCTAAAACTAACCTAAAACCCAATTGCAACCCTATGTTTTAGATGAAATAAAACCGGGAACAATATGTCAGTCCACGGTTGCAGTCCGAGCATGAGCAGATAAAGGTCATTGCAGAACAAATTGTGAAATACACGGAGACAAAATACTGGATACGTGCTCATGAAAGTTATGTACCGGTAATCATTATTCATTTATGCACAAGCAGTGCACTCCATGATCCACAGGTGGAAGTATTCTTTGAAAAGGGGAAACAAAGTTAAGGCTATGTATGTAGCACCTCTAGAGCTGTAGGAGTGATCATTTCAAAATGTACAAAGTGGGACCTCTTCATGTGTTGAAGATCTGTGGATGTTCAGGGTCATTTGGGACATGTGCTAACCATGAACTGGTCTATTGTTGTGGGAGCTGATGTTGGAGCACCTTGTGTGATTGTGGACATTAGGGACCCGTTTCACAAAGCCTTTTTTGAATGACAAATGACAAAAATCAGTGACAAATCCGCCGATGACCAATCAGGAGCAAGGATTTCACTAGCTTATAACAAAAACTGTCATTTGTCACTGATGACAAGTTTTGTGAAATGGAGCCCTGGTTGGGAGATCATGTAATGCATGTGGGTTGAAGCCTTGGTGGAGATGACTTTCCAGGTGGGCTTCTAGTGATCACTATGATGTACTCGGATTCATTCTTTTAACGGTTTAAGAAGGCACTATGACCAGAATGGAGCCAATAGGTGCCTGGTATTAATACAAATGATAATTTAAAAATGATATTGATAATTAGGAGAAAGGAGAAAGAAAAGGAAGAGAAAGAAAAGGAAAAATAAGGAAGGAAAGAGGAAGAGGAGAAGAAGTAAGAGAAGGAGAAGAAAAAAAGACTGAGGAGGTAAAGAAGAAGAAGAGGAGGAAGAAAATAGTAAGAACAAGTAACAACGGCCACAACAATGATGGCAATGAAGATATCAACATTAACCAAAACAACGATAGTAATATTAGTCATCATGGTACATGTAATAGCTCCGGAACCTTTTTTTTTATTCAGGTAACTACCAGTTCTATGGTTAAGAGCCTGTCAATGGTTGCTGTGTGTGGACCTACGACCGATCAGCAACCTCCTTTCCAGTGGAGTAAGTCTGACTTCAACCAAACCCTTCATCTTGGACATCCGGACCTGTTTGACTTTAAACCCATTAACGTGCAGTGGTATGATTAGAATAGAATTGAAAAGAGAGAGAGAAAGAGAGGGGTGGAAGGGAAGAGAGAGAGAGAGAGAGAGAGAAAGGTGGGGGGGAGAGAAGAGAGAGGTGAGGTTGAGAAGCGGTGAGAGAGAGAGAGAGAGAGAGAGAGAGAGAAAGGGGGAGTAAGAGGGAGTGAGGTTAAGGAATGAGAGAGAGAGAGAAAGGGGGAGTAAGAGGGAGTTGGGTTAAGGAATGAGAGAGAGAGAGAGAAATGGAGAGAAGGAGAGATAGAGGAAGCATGAAAGAGAAAAAGAATGAAATACATGTGTATATAACAGATGCCAGGAAGAAAGAAAACAATTTAAAAGAATAATAGCGAGAAAGAGTGAGAGGAGTAGAAAGATAACCGAAGATAGAAAGAGAGCAACAAAGTGAAGTACATACGCATGTAGGCCTGCATGAAGGCCTCTTGCACATGTATACGTAGATTCGAAAAGAGACTGATTTTTTATATATCGCTGTTGAACGTTGTCCTTAAATATTTTGTTGGTTGAATTATAATGAGTAGGACAAATTTATACTGATTTTAATGGAAAAAAACATACCTACATGACTCAGACTGTCGTAGATTATTCCTATATACATAATGATATTAAAGGAAAAGAAGATGGACAAGAGAAGGCGATTTATATATTTTGTTACTGCAATTTTATATCTACTTGTTTTATATGAAGAGATTGTTTTGTACGTCAAACCTCAATGATTTCTGCCAATGAAACTTCCTCAACAATTCTTCTTGTGTTGTTGGGATTTTTTTTTAGGACAAGCCGCTATGATACAATAAAAGTAAAATGTGTTAACATTTTTTTTTTTTGGGGGGGGTGGGGGGGGGGGCTAATGGAGCTTTTGGATTGATCTTCTAAATGATCCTTCATAATCTTCCATTATCTGAAATCAATGTTGTGCAATGTATCGATTGTTAAGAGGTTTAAATGCAGGTCAGGTTGTAATTTTAGTCGAAAATTAGTTCTAGTTACATGTACATGTCCAGTACACAGGCTTGAAATGATTTGACTTGTAATTCTGTTTTTGTTTAAATGTATATATATATTTTTATGCCTCCACCACAAAGTAGCTGGAGGCGATGTTTTTGGGTTGTCCGTACGTCCCGTTCTCGTAATCGCGTTTTCTCAAGAACCAATTGATGGATTCCCGCCAAACTTGGGTCATGTATGTATCTTACAGAGCCAATGAACTGATGAGATTTTGGGGTCATGAGGTCAAAGTTCAAAGGGTCATACATGTATATGAAAAATAGCATGTAATCATGATATTCTGAGAACCTGTCAATGGATTACAATCAAACTTGAATTTCAAAAATTGCTTCTGTTTTAGTTAGATCGCTTTATGGCGGAGGCATCTTTTTCCGACTGTGTGCAGTCGAAGATCAATCTAGTTTTTCTTATACATCTATACAGGTATATGAATTTGTATGCTCATTATTAAGTATTAGCCAGTGCGAGTTATCACTAATTATACATGAGCAACAAATAAAGTGTGTAAAATTAAGATTAAGAGCCTTTTTAAAAAGTGGTTCAAAAAAAAAAAAGTTTTCCCCCATCAGCAAATAGCTCTGTATGTAGTACATACACCTAGGTAAATTTTAATCTTATGTTTTACCAAGCGTCACTGTCATTGCTGTATATTTCATTAATAACTGCAATACTGTAAGAAAATGATTGAACTAAATAAAAAATAAAATGAAACAGATATATTGATTTCATTGTGACAGGATTTCTGTTGTTCATTTTTAACAGAATTATGACATTTATGAAATGAGGTTGACATTCGTCACTCCATAAATCATTGGACATGTACTAACTCTGCCCAGAACTTGGCATCTTTGAACCAAGGAAAAAGTTGATTAGTTTTTTTGTTTGTTCTTTCATACCAATGTTTTCTCACATATCACCGAACCAACTTTACGTGCCTTGATGAGAGTTGATTAGACTAAGGTGTGTGTTTTTCATTTTGTATTTGTTTATTTTCTATTTTCGTGATTAAATACATCCTATGAACTAATGAAGAAAAGAGGAGTGAATACACAAGAGATTTGTACATTTAGCCACATTACAAATTAGCCAAAATAAAAATATTCTGTATTTTCTTTCATGTGAAAGTTATGGACTCTCTCAACTTGAAAGTTAATGCTCTACTTTCATGACATAATAAAAAAAGAAAATGAAGGAGAAGATAGTTTGAAATCATTTGAATCGTCATTTAATAATTGTATGTCATGGTCCAAGGACCGTTTCATTAAACATGTTATCAATAGCAAATGCCACATTTCTATGACAAATTTGATTTGATTTGATTGCTTATAACAGTTATTGCAACTTGATATCGATTATAGAAAATATGAAACAGGGCCTAATTTAAATCCAGTTAAATGTCAACAAAAGATCAAGTATTTGCTGTAAGCTGCACACCCTGAGAATTTAATGCAAATTTGACAAAATTCTCTGCAATTAGACAAACAAATAAAAAGGCCATTGGCATCAAAGAGCAATGAACTTCCTGGGCCCCGTTTCACAAAAATTGTCATCAGTTACAAATGACAGTTTTTGTTGTAAGCTACTGAAATCCTTGCTTCTGATTGCTTATAAGCAGATTTGTCATTGAAAAAAGGCTTTGTGAAACGGGTCCCAGGTTGCAGGCTCAAGCCCCATGGTAGACCTTGCAAACCCTGAAAGGGAAATGAAAAGGTCCAACCCCACAGTGTGAGATAAACGGTTGCTAAGTGACGATGATGAAACCCTTGTCATTCATCAGACTAAAAAAAAAGATGTTGTATTGCCCTTTAGGTGACAAAACATGGGTCGGTTGGTTGGAAATCTTTTTTTTTTCTTTCTCTCTCTCTCTTTGGGATGATATTTCTCAGTTTTGAATGCTTTAATATTTTTTTTCTTCTAAAAAACGGTTTTAAAAAAAACCTTAAAAATTCTTAACAGAGGGTCTGAGCTATGAGACTATACATAGAGTCAGAGACTGCAGTCAAATGGCCTTTTTTTTTTAATGACACAACCAGAAACTGACAAAATCAGGCTCTGCTCAAGACATTGTGGAATTGTCTTTAATTGTTAAAACGAGTAGACAACGTACATTGCCTGGATATTAACCCGATATTGTCATGGAATGTCTTTGTATGCACTTATTTCTGAGCAATTACACATTTTCTCTCAGAATCCTTTTTTTAAAAGCTTTTTATTTTATTTATGTATACATATTGGATTCTGTATAAATTGAAAGTGTCCCCAACTTTTTCAGTAAAATTCTTCCAAAAAAAAACTTTTTCAACTATGCACAAGTTGACCATATAAAACTATGAAGTAGTTTCTACCATATCTACCGGTACTAAAACTGCCTATTTTTAATTGATATTACATGGTGTGTATTATACTTTTTTTGCAAACTGACAGAGAATTACATGAATTTATAAGTTGTATGGCATAATTACACATACTTGTATATGAAAAGTGTAATTTTTCAACAAAAAAATAAAGTACAAATGAATTTGTATTAGTCATTTTAGTCTTTGTTTCTTAGTCACTTTTCATGACTGAAGCCTGAATGTGAGAGCGAGTTTAATTGTTAGAGTAATACAAAACCAAAAAGTTTCACAACCTAAAAGTGAATTATTTACGCGACAAGAAACTTTTGCAAACAGCAAACATTCAGTGTGTTGTAGTTTACTTATTTTACCTCAATATGTCGGGACGATGAAATTTCAAAAAAGTTTCTAGTCTCAAATTGTGAGTGGTAACAGACCCATGTGTACGGTATCTTACAAAACGGTTGGTAGGTTTTAATTTTGCAGCAGTTCATGCATATTTGTACAAGGTGTTTCTATCACCCCCCCCCCCCCTCCTCCCTTCTAGTTCAGATTGCCAGAGTTCATACAATGAAAACATTATTTTTGTGTAGTCTGAATGTCGTAAAAAGAAACGTCATATGAAGAAACTTCTAGCAATATTCACGATTGAGCATACTTTCAAAAAAATATATTCTTTATACAACGTTTATTTAAACGAGTTTCGTATCAATTTCCTCTGGTCTGAACTGAACATGCTAATAATGTTTATTATATCCTGCATCAAAAATTTGTTGGCTTCTGATTGGTTGAGAGCTCGTCACATGACCAAAAATATTTGAGCTATTTTTAGAAAGTACTATATGAGAGTACTATTTTGGTTTACTATTTGGGAGTTGAATTTTTTTTTTTTTTTTTTTTTTTTTTTTAATTGAATCAATTATTTTTTTCAAATCTTAATTCAATGAAAACAAAATATTTTAAATCATTTTAGATAAAAATTGACATTTTTTTTTGTTCTAAATTTTTTTTTCCCAAAAATGTTTTTTTTTTTTTTTTTTTTTTTTTTTTTTAATATAAATTTTTGATGCAGGATATAAAACAAATATACCATGCCTTCCATTCGAGGTACTGGTTAAACTATGGGCCTCGGTGACTCCAAAAGTACCATTTGCTTCGGGGCTGCGCCCCTCAGCAAATAGTACTATTGGAGTCACCTCTTGCGCATAGTTTTAACCAGAACCTCTCAAGGCAGTGTATATTTGTATACTAATGTCATGCGTCCAATACGGTGATGAGTTCCTGGAAGTCAGTCACAAACCACTGCGCTCCTTCCTGTACCTTGGAGCGGATCTGATTCCCTCCAAATCCAATAAAGGCATCCTAAATGAGAAGGAAAAAAAATTAACAAAGATGCCATGATTTTCAACACACTTTCTTTTAAATAAGGCCAGGACCCCCGTCTTGTAAGAGTTGCGATTGATTCGGATACTCCAACCAATCGCAAGTTTGTTCTTTTTACACTTTGTTAAAAAATTAACAAAGATGCCATGATTTTCAATACACTTTCTTTTAAATAAGACCAGGCCCCCGTCTTGTAAGAGTTGTGATTGATTCGGATACTCCAATCAATCGCAAGTTTGTTCTTTGTACACAGTTGCAATGATATATGTACGTCACATTATCAGGAAAATGGTGGGAAGTCTTGTAGATTAATTGACGAGAATGCAATATACTGTTCAGAATAACTCAAGATATTTCTTGGGGTGATGTTTCCTTTCATTGAATTCTTCTCAATTTTAGAGGTCCTAAATGTTTATATGAATTGTATTAAGACGTATTAAAGCCAACAAAATCAACTGCAAGTCATGGTGACTTCACACGAGTCACACGACTACCAACTGAGCGACTTCAACATTGATGCAGTGACGTAGTCGAGTTGTTTGAGCACTTGACTTGAAATTCAAAGGTCGTGGTTCGATCCCTGATACGGCACTAATGTCCTTTGGCAAGGCATTAATCTTCATTTGCCACACTCGACCCAGGTGAGGTAAATGGATACCTGGCAGGAATTAATTCCTTGAAATGCTAGAGCACTGTAATGACAGCTAGGCTAAAGCCAGGGTAATAATAAATGCACCTCAGAATAGAAATTCTAGATAGATGGCGCTATAGAAATGCCTATTATTATCATTTTTATCTGATTCATCTTCATCTTTGTCTGAAAGGCATGTAATACCCACAATTTCAACAATACTGTCATAAAAGGCCCAATCATCTAGAACAGGCAATTGGCTAGTTTATGGGTGTTGATGGTGTTGGTGTTGGTAGTGGTGGTGATGGTGTTCTTGTTCTTGTTGTTGGTGTTCAGTTATTGCTGTTGTTCTTCTTCTTTTTCTTCTTGGTGGTGTTGATGTTGCTGTTGTTTATTTTTCTGCTTCTTTTTGGTTGTGGTTGTGGTTGGGGTGGTTATTGTGGCCATGGTGATGAGTGTGGCAGTGATAGTGTTGCTCTCGTTTTTTATGCTGTTGTTGTTGTTGTTGTTCTTCTTCTTCTTCTTCTTCTTCTTCTTGGTGGTGGTGGTGCTTGTGTTGGCAATGGTGGGGTTGTTGTTGGTGGTTGTATGGTTGTTGTTGACATTATTGTTATTGCCATTGATGTTGTTGTTATTGCCAATGATGTTGTTGATATTGCCATTGATGTTGTTGTTATTGCCATTGATGTTGTTGTTATTGCCATTGATGTTGTTGATATTGCCATTGATGTTGTTGTTATTGCCATTGATGATGTTGTTGATATTGCCATTGATGTTGTTGTTATTGCCATTGATGTTGTTGATATTGCCATTGATGTTGTTGTTATTGCCATTGATGTCATTGTTGTTATTGCAATTGATGTTGTTGATATTACCATTGATGTTGTTGTTATTGCCAATGATGTTGTTGTTATTGCCATTGATGTTGTTGATGATATTGCCATTGATGTTGTTGTTATTGCCATTGATGTTATTGTTATTGCCGTAGTTGTTGTTGTTGTTATTATAATACTGAATGCACATGAACGTATACTCACAGCTGGAGGGCAAGCTTCCATGTCGGTTGCTCCATCTCCTATCATGACAAGCCGTTGATAGCCAAACTTCTCCTTTAAGATGGCCATGACTTTAGGTTTACCTCCTGTACTGCATGTAGGTTCAGACTCATCAAAGCCCCCATAATCCCCTATGGGATAAACGTAAGAGAATCACTTTAAAATTGATACATGTACATGAGATAAGAAAGGTAAAATTGTTGCCATATCTGATATATATCATTTTATCACTCCATTCTATCTTAGTATTGTAAATTATATAAAAAAAATTGAGACCGGCCCCATTTCACAAAACTTGTCATCAGTGACAAACGACAGATTTTGTTGATAAGCTAGTGAAATCCTTGCTTCTTAATTGGATATCAGCAGATTTGTCACTGATTTTTGTCATTTGCCATTGAAAAAAAGGCTTTGTGAAATGGGTCCCAGTCCGACTCCCAGATCATGACAGAAAATAAAATTTCACAGAATCATACAAAAATTAGATTTCCTCATATTTGCTTCTGCAACAAGTACTGCAGCGTTTATTTCTTTAAAGATATAGGGCTAGGATAGGAGATGCAATGAAATCTTAGGCTTGGTCTAGGTTTAGAGCACCAGGTTAGGGTTGGGGCCAAGATTAGGGTTATGTAAGATTTTAGTCTAGCGTTAAAGTCAGCAATTTGGTTACCGTAGCGGTAGTTATACTATTTATTGCCCATGGAGCCAAATTGTTGCTGGAGCATGTGTCGTAGAACTGAAACTAATATCTGTCATAGAACAAAATTCTTTGATTCGCTGGTAAACATAAACCTACGGTAATCAATGTTCCTCCCTCCTTGCCCCCTTATTATCTCCAAGCACTCACCATCATAATAAAAATAGGAGCTTAGTAGCATAGATGTTTTCAGCTGGAATGTCAAATTCCTTGGTGAAAATTTCTCACCTTTTGCAGGTAAACATTCTTCAACTCCATGCAAAACGACCCCCCCCCCCCCATTATTCCTATATACTCACCATCATAATCAAAGAGGAGTTTATTGGCATAGATATTCTCTACTGGAATGTTGAGCTCCTTTGCAAAGCTTCTAACTATACAGGTGAACCCACCCGTCACCAGATAGATGGCTGTCCCTCGCTCCTGCATTTTGCTCACTAGACTCCTACACAAATAATAATAATAATAATAATAATAATAACATAGAGCATTTATAAATGTGCCAACTCCACAGGAATAATGATGGTGGAATCCACAAGAAACCTGAAAATTCACAAAAGTGAGACAAGTTAGAAATTACTACAAGTAGATCTACTGGAAAGCAATTTTCAAAAGATCAGTTTCGAGGGCTTTTTATAAACACTTGAAATATTACAAATGTCTTGTGGCAACTAATTCCATAGGTAAGGTCCAGCCTGGACAAATGACTGTTCCAGACTATGAAATCTTAGTTAGAATTTGATGATCTTAACCCTATTTTAACTGGGCTATTTCAGACCAGGTTTTATATGGGGGGAGGGGGGTCAATTTGACCCCCCCCCCCCCCACCCAAGATCTCGGCCGTTTCACTGCCGATCGCCGCAAAAATTTGCATACAGGTCAATTAAAGTGTATAGAATACTATAGTAATTTCAATTTTTTGAAAAATTCACTCATTTGCATATTTATGGTAATTTATGCAAATAAGGTCATACAATTCACATTTTTGCCCATAAATCATACATTATTCATATTTAAGCATTCTTTTTCTCTACATATATTTGTTAGACAGTTTGGAATAATGACACAACACAAAAAATTGGAAGAGCCAGGTTATTCCTTATGTTACCTCTTGTTTTGATAATTTCTTATGTATTTCATTGTTTTTTAACATATGTATTTTATTGTTTTTGTTGTTTTATTTCATTTATAACTACAATTCATCTATTTTGACCTAAAAACAAACACCCAAACTTTAAAGAAGACTAAATAACCAATGTTTTATCTCTTTTTAGGAAAAATGACATTTCCATATGTTTTGTACACAAATCTCAAAAATGAGCGATTTTCAGGCTGACATTTAACAACAAAATGTCATGTGACTTTGTAACTATACGTCCGATTTAAAAAAAAAATTGTTTTAAAAGATGCGTAAGACTCGAAAGGAAAAAGTTGTGAAAGGAAAATTTCATATCTGCCGCGGTTTTAGAGTAGTCACGAAATTTCTACAGGGGGGGGGGGGGGTCAAATTGACCCCCCCCCCCCCCCCCCCCAGTTAACGTAAGGTTAAGCATCTGGGAGGATTACAATGTATAAGGCATCAACAGATTAACATTGTAGTCTGGAACAATAATAATTTAAAAACAATGTGGAATTTCACAGGCAACCAATATAAAGAGGACAAACCTGGAGAGATGCGAAGTTCTGATTTTAAAATGTACTAATCATCAACAAATAATTAGCTCTGTATGAAAGGGCTTTAACATTGCTATACTACATGTATATTACAGATATGAGCTCAAAATATTATTTTTATAAAGAGATATTACAAGTTTAAATACTGATGCATCCATATGCACAAATATAGATTGGGTTCTATGCGCAGGGTTTTTATATTTTCTCTTTTTTCCTTGAATTCCTTGAATTCCTTAAAGGGGAAGTCCACCCTGATAGTAAGTTGGTTTTTAATAGAAGAAGAAAATGAGAGGAACAGGGCATTGAAAGTTTGAACTAATTCTGATTTAATATAAGAAAGTTATGAATTGTCGAGGGTGCATCAGTTAAACACAAAATTGCAACTCTTATGACATATCTTGTGGGCTCCCCTTCCATTTGCTCAGCTCAGTACTGACAAAAATCAGAAATAAATATATTTTCCATCACGAATGCAAGGTAAATTTTTGGGGCATGGTTGACTTTATAAACAATTTTTTTTTTTTTTAAGGGAATTGGTACACTTTAATTCACTCTTTTGTACACAAGGGTGCTCAAAAGCCAGCAAACCCCTACCCATTGCTCAGTCAACAATTTTTGGTTGATCACATTATCTTGTCATATTATCATAACTCCTAGATGAAATAGATTTCATGTCGTTAGTGTTCGGGTTTTATTGTAATTAATGGAATCACTCTGAGTCTGCCTGAGAGTTTGTTGTGTTTGGTATTTCAATGTTAAAAAATGATGAACACTAAACAGTCAATATAAGTTTTTGAAAGATTTCACTTTTGCTCGCTCTGATGGTGACATTAGCTTGGGGAAAAAAATCAACTTACGTTATTCCTTTAGTGAATTTGATTGGAGTTTGCGTGATAAACCTCTCCATGGTTGATTTACTAGGTTTGATCAGGTCAAGTCGGGCTTCCAAGGATTCTTTGTAGCTCTTCTGACCTCCCATAGCCTGTCTGGTTCTGATAATAATAACAATCATAATAATACGATAAAAATAATAGTACAGGCTAGTACACTCATTATCATTATGATCATTATCGTCATCATCACCATCACCATCATCATCACAATTCATCATCGACCACCATCATCATCACTGTCACCAACATCATCACTGTCACCATCATCACCACAATTCATTATCGATCACCATCATCCTCACTGTCACCATCATCACCACAATTCATCATCGATCATCATCACCATCATCCTCACTGTCACCATCATCACCACAATTCATCATCGATCACCATCATCATCACTGTCACCATCATCACCACAATTCATCATCAATCACCATCATCCTCACTGTCACCATCATCACCACAATTCATCATTGATCACCATCATCCTCACTGTCACCATCATCACCACAATTCATCATCGATCACCATCATCATCACTGTCACCATCATCATCACAATTCATCATCGATCACCATCATCATCACTGTCACCATCATCACCACAATTCATCATCGATCACCATCATCCTCACTGTCACCATCATCACCACAATTCATCATTGATCACCATCATCATCACTGTCACCATCATCACCATAATTCATCATCGATTACCATCATCATCACTGTCACCATCATCATCACAATTCATCATTGATCACCATCATCATCACTGTCACCATCCCCACCACAATTCATCATCGATTACCATCATCATCACTGTCACCATCATCACCACAATTCATCATTGATCACCATCATCATCACTGTCACCATCCCCACCACAATTCATCATCGATTACCATCATCATCACTGTCACCATCATCACCATAATTCATCATCGATCACCATCATCATCACTGTCACCATTATCACCATAATTCATCATCGATCACCATCATCCTCACTGTCACCATCATCACCACAATTCATCATCGATCACCATCATCATCATTGATCACCATCATCACCACAATTCATCATCGATCACCATCATCATCACTGTCACCATCATCACCACAATTCATCATCGATCACCATCATCACCACAATTCATCATCGATCACCATCATCCTCACTGTCACCATCATCACCCCAATTCATCATCGATCACCATCATCATCACTGTCACCATTATCACCATAATTCATCATCGATCACCATCATCCTCACTGTCACCATCATCACCACAATTCATCATTGATCACCATCATCCTCACTGTCACCATCATCACCACAATTCATCATCGATCACCATCATCACCACAATTCATCATCGATCACCATCATCATCACTGTCACCATCCCCACCACAATTCATCATCGATCACCATCATCATCACTATCACCATCATCACCACAATTCATCATCGATCACCATCATCATCACTGTCACCATTATCACCATAATTCATCATCGATCACCATCATCATTTTGTGATATGCTACAAATAAAAAATTATCTTTAATGTAGACAGCCATACTTTCTCCTGGAAAGCTAGCTTGAGAATGAAAGGCTCCCATATTAACTTTCACCTTTCCCAGAACTCAACCTTCTCGTTTGGGGATGGGATTTTTGAGGATGGTTTTATGTACATGTACTTACAGTTCTTGGACTTCATCACCAACCCCACAGAACTTGGCAAGATCATCTATTGATTCATCCTGTATGAGAGTGCTATCAACATCGAAGCAAACAGCATCTGCTTTTTGAAAGATTTTCATTGTCTCCTCAAGATTTGACATGATGATTTATCAAGCTGGTGGTGGCAATCTGGAAAAAAAAGTTAAGAAATCAAATTGATCTTATATTGTTTTATGCAAGCTGGTGAAAATCTAGAAAAAAAAATTACGAAATCAAATTGATAATACTGTGTGAGTCAAAAAAAAGTTTACACCTAGAAAATTGCTAATTATTTTTAAAATAATCTATGAGCGGTAATTTATTATACATCTTATGAGAGAGTGTTTTATCCCAAATCATTTGATACCATTTTTGTGTGGTATGTGTTCACGCTTGAATGAACAGGAGGCATTGTTTGCAAGAGTGCAAAAATCGACTTGCGCCAAAGTGATGCCTACAGTATGTATCATGTTGGGATTAGCGAAGTGATAGAATGAAATGAATGTATCAAATAAAATGCATTGCAAAGGCATAAGCAACTTTGGCGCAAGTCGATTTTTGCACTCTCGCAAACAATGCCTCCTGTTCATCTAAGCGTGAATACATACCACACAAAAATGGTACCAAATGATTTGGGATAAAACACTCTTTCATAAGATATATAATTATTTACTGTTCCTAGATGATTTTAAAAATAATTAGCAATTTTCTAGGTGTAAACTTTTTTTTGACTCACTCTGTACATCATTTTATACAGGTCCTATCCTGGATGTAGATCTAATTCTAAACGCACACAAAAGTCAGCAAATCATGTTTGAGCATTGATTTCCTTCTTGGTCTTATATTATCATACTTGGTCGGTGTCATTAAAAAGCCTGATTATTCCACTTACAATGATGCCCCATTATGCCAATGAGGTTGAGATGTCGGTTTACTTTTTTGAATTCCTCATCAATAATAGGATTTATGTATGTGGACGATCGAAGCGTAGGGTAATTAAGGGTTGCGGTAGTACTAGAATTAAAGAGGAAATCCACCCTGATATTAAGTTGGTTGTAATAAAAGCAGAAAAATGAGAGAAACAAATTAGTGAAGGAGTTTGACCAATATCTGATTAAAAAATAGGAAAGTTATGCATTTTTTAAGTTGTCATTAGTGAAACACAAATTGGCAGCACTGTGACTTATGTTGCAAGTGTCTCTACACTTCGATCCGTACATAAAATTTCCTAATAGTGCTTAGTTATTGATGATGGAATAAATTTGTTTCCCTACAGGGGTTGCATATTAAAATATAATATTCATATTTTAAACTGTTACTGTCAATGGATGATGTCATCTTCCTTCATGCACACTAACAGTTTAAAATACGGCTGCAAGAATTTCAACACAGAGTTCAATTTTGACAAAGAAAATCCAGAAAAAAGACCCTTGAAGGCATCATATAGTCAATCTGGTAAGTAGAACCCATGTTAGTCTAGGCCCAACTTTTGAGAATAAATATGAATCCGCTAAAGTGACATTTTACTTAGAGGTCTATATAGTCCGAAGTTTTGTGGCATGACCGTGCCACCAAAGTTTGCAGAGCAGTCTGAGCAGACCCTATGGTTGGCTTCTGTCTCTAAAGAGAGGAGCCGACCCTAACCAAATATTAGGCTAACAAACAAAAGAGACAGAAATGTACGGTCTAGGTAAACCGCTGGGCTGCACAATTAGAATACAATTGAATACCGTATACTGACAAAGGGGTTCGGCTGTAATCTCAGATCCTTATTAAATTCATGTAAGTAATTCACATTATCATGATTATTAACTTCACGCACCCGCCCGGCCCGCATCCCTTCGCTGGTAAGGTATTGTAAATTGTGCAGTGGTTTAGACTCCCGTGACAGACAAAAACCTGTGAGAAGATGTATAGATATTAGATAATAATGTCTTCCATTTTCAGGAGAAATACTCAGAAAGACTAAAAGAGAAAAGAAAATTGACACGGAACAGGTAAGCATAACGACTTTTAAAATCATGACCATATTTATACAATTGATGTAGCCTAGATATAGTTGATTGCCCAGGTCGAAAATCCCATAGAGACCAATAGAGACCATGGCATTAGAAAAATTCTATTGGTCTCTAATGGTTTCTGTTGGAGTCTATTGGTTTCTGTTGGACCCATAGAATTGAATCCAATAGAGACCATTCAAACCATCAGAAACCAATAGAAACCAATAGCACCCATAGAACCCATAGAAACCAATAGGACCAATAGAAACCGATAGGACCAATAGAAACCAATAAGACCAATAGAAACCAATAGAAACCAATAGAAATGATAGGACCAATAGGACCAATAGAAAACCAATGAGACCAATAGAACCTAATGGGACCAATAGAAACCAATAGGTCCAATAGAAACCAATAGAAACCAACAGCTAAATCTATCTCATGCATATTCATGATTACTTTATACGTGTTTACAGAAAATTACATTTGTCATAATTTGTTAAGCAACTTATGACAATGTACATCAATTTTGTGATTTTTATTTTCTTTCGGCAACTAATGACCTATAGATTATTTGTTTAATCATGTTACAATTACATTTACGTTTTAGCAATAGATATATTGATTATGATTACTAACCAAGAAACAATTCATGTATGTTTATTATATAGAATAGTACAAGACTTTAATTAAAATAAAGGTATTTTTTAACCTCACTTCAAGTGATCTATGGAGTTAATGCAATTGAGATTAGAATATACTTTTTTTGGTGGACAGTTGCTAACGTCGATTTTGATTTATCATTATTGATTTACCAATAGAAGCCATTGGACTATTGGTTTCAATAGAGAATTCAGAATATGGGACCATTAGAAACCCATAGAAAGATCTCTGATGGACCAACAGGAACCCATAGAAAATATCTAATGGACCAACAGAAACCCATCATAGAAGAAAATATCTAATGGACCAACAGAAACCCATAGAAGACATGGGTGGATGCTGGTCCAATAGAAGCTTTCTGTTGGTCCATCAGCATTTTTCTGTGGGTTTGTGTTGGTCCAATAGATATTTTCTAATGGTTTCTGTGGGTCCATCATTTCACTTTCCCTATTGAAACCATTAGACACCAATAGCTCTACTAATGGTTTCTGATGGTCCAATAGGATCGGATCCTAATGGAATTTCGACCTGGGTGGTATGTTTTAGTAGATCTAGGTTATCTCCACGCCGGAGTTACGGGTCGAAAATGGACTAGTGACGAATGACTAGTGCCGACAAATGTCAGTTCTTCTTATTTTCTTCCAAGTTCCAGTGTAAGTGTGACTCCAGCTCCAGGAAGCTCCGACGCCAACGCGTCGGCGTCGGAGATTCCTGGATCCTGGAAGGCTGGAGTTAGTAAGTCTGCTTCAACTTCAAGGCTGGTGATCGACAAATGTCAGTTTTAATTTTAAAAAATGCCCGTACCAGATGGTTATTTATGTCTAGACTCTATATCTAATTACATAATTTAAATGATGATTCACAGTTACACTGTAGTTAACTTACTTACAAGTTACAAGTTACAGTTAGAAAGTAGCCCAAGCCAAGTTGTCTCTGAATGATGATGATCACGATCAGAGCATTAATATGCACATCATGCAGAGCATTAATATGCACATCATGCTGCGCTATTGCAAGGCCTCGGTATTATGAGACGCTGCCCTGGATCGAGCATACACGTGTTACATACCAAACTCAGCGCGTGTTACATACAAAAAATGAATATAGAACGCCATACGTTTATTTTTGTTTCATCGCAAAGAAATTCTGAAATTTATTGTAAAATTATGTAATTTCTAATTATACCCCATACAGTGGGGTAGACAAGTTTTTTTAAGTAGGAGGGAAGCATAGGCAATTGTGTTGACCTGTGCTATATATATATATATAGTCTATATATATATATATATATATATATATATATATATATATATATATATATCTGTATTTTTGAAGACATTTCACCATGCAGCTCTTATATTTGTGCACTGCATGATTTTAATTATAACTGCATGAGCAACTAGAAATTTTGTAAGCTAGGTCTGCGAGGGTAAACATTGAAGAATACATGTATATATTATGATGAACTGCACCAATTCAAGCGCGTACGCAGGGGGGGGGGGGGGGGGGGGGGGAAGGTTATATATATATATACATATAGCAAACTTTTTTTTTATGTGTGTGTGTTTTGGGGGAACCCCTCCCCCCCCCCCCCCCCCCCCCCCCCCCCCCCCCCCACTTTTTTTTTTTTTTTTTTTTGATAATTAAAAAAATATATATATATATCGACCGGCCAAATTTTCAAATTTCGAGACACACAAAAAAAGTGCTCTTCTACTGAAAACAAATTAGTGCATCCACACAAAACCATATTACATTCAATATAACTTGGATGCTGTTGTTAGGAAATAACATTTTTTAGGGAGGCAATGCCGTCATATAGACTCCTTGAGTAAGTTGCCATTTTGTTTTGTGACATCCAAAGTTTGGCATGTCCGATGTCATTAAAAATTCATAACTTTCTTATTAGTATCCGATTTTGCTCAAACTTCTTTTGATTAAAACGGTCAGATTTTTCTGCTACTATTGAAAATAATGTATTTTGGATTGGACTTGCCCTTTAATGTTTTTGATTAGTTTCAGGGGAAAACTAGTAGAGACTAAAGGTCACACCTAGTGTCCACACAGACTAGAAGCAGAAACAAGTCATGAAAGGAGCAACTAGGTCAGTTGAAGTTTGAGCAAAATGCAATTAATTAAGAATAAGAAAGTTGTGATTTTTTAAAGTTGAGATCATTAAAAAAATTGGCAACTCTGTGACGTTTCTTGCGAGGTCCCCTCCAATTTGCTCTGTACTAAAAAAAAAATGTAATCAGAAATTTCTATTTTCCCTACAAAAATTGTCTAGCCATAAACGCATCCTATTAAGATACTATTTCCCTTTTGCAGCCAACATCAAATTCTGCAGAACTTTGCAGAAATTATGAATATGTCATGTATGTCCTATCTGTAAAATTTAAACGTTAGCAGTGTCTATAATATTCAAATTATGCAAGGAAACCCGTTTACTTCATAGACTTCACTGTCAGACACTATTGAGTTACTGACTGGCTTTTTCTCTTCTTTGGTAATAACATACATACAATGAGCTGTAAAGGGTAGGCCTACATGAGCATTTGTCTACATCAATAACCCACTTCTTGTAAGGCCAAATACAAATTTTAAAATGTTTAGCGTCCTGTTTTTTTGAAAAATAGGAAGAAGGGGGCCCATTTTTTTTCTTCAAAATGGTCGCTCAAAATGGCCGCTCGGTACATTTTCCCTGAAAGCCGAAATAGATCCATTTTAGCAGTGTTTTTCATGTTTTTTTTCAGTTGTTTTTTTCTGATTATCGATATATACCAGCTTATTATTAGGGTGGACTCAGAGTTTATGTTTTTTTTTAATAGTAAGCAAATTATGAAGTATTTTACAGTCTAAGCCAAAGGCGGTGCTCCGTGGGGCCATAGAGAGGCAAAGTGTTTTACTTCGATAAGTGCCCCTTTTTCTTCGTAAAATATTAGGTGTCCCTGTTTACCTATTTTCCATTGGCGGTTACAAATTGTACCCTTTTGCGGTCATCTAAAGACCCATAATATCTAGTTTTTTAAAGAGTCGGAGTAGCTTTGAGTATAGTAACACATTTTTTTTCTACATTAGCCGGGGAGGGGGGCAAGGTACGCAATGCCCCCAAAGTAATAAGAACGAACTGTGTCCCTTTTAGAATTGTTAGTCGTGCCCGTTTTCAAGGCTATCTGTACCTTCTCTATTAGTATGCTTTAAGTTTTACACTACATCATTTGCTCCTTTAAACTACCATGGCAACAGCTAAAACAGGTATTTAATTCCATCAGCGACCTATCATTTTTTAAACCACATGCCCATTTAAACTTCATAGCATGCCACGGTAATTGCCCTTTGTTTAGTATTATAAAAGTTTAGACAATCATTAGTTTTCAAACTCAAGGCAACTGCATTGAAATTACATTCATGTTGAAAAGCCTGAGACATACGAGCCGCCATCGAATTTTGTTCAATCGTAGAATATAATTATAGGCGACAATTTTAGGACAATGCACCTATATACAGGGGCGGATCCAGCCGGCGGCAGGGGAGGGGGCCCTATTTGTGAGAAAATATTTAGCGGCGAAACAGCCGGCCGATAATTCGCATAGGGGGGGGGGGGGTATTGAGCACTAATTTATTTATCATTTTGCTCCCGAAAATTCGAAAATCGTGCCGGCCGATAATTCGCTCAGGCCCCCCCCCCCCCCCTGGATCCACCACTGGTGTCCAACAATTTTTCACAAAATAACTAAAATTCCTATTGTGCAAAATGGATGACTCCGGAGAGTCTTTGCATTTTAGAGTACCTAAATAATATGCTTTCCATAATACTCTCATTATACCTTAGCCTGCTTATACACTCTTTCAATTCAATGGACTTGAATTTCTCTGTGCACCTGTACAACTATAATTACTTTTACCTCATTTATCTCTAATCTTTTTTTTTTTGAAGAGCACCTAAAAAGATGTTTTTAGTATAGGATTTCTCGGTCACTTTCGTAAGCTTTTCATTCGTTTTGATACAAAGTTCATTCAAATTCGCGACATAAAGCTGCCGGCGTGTAAATTTCATTCTAAATAACACTCTTTTCATTTTATTTACTTATTCGGTCAATGGATTTAGCACTTGTTTCATTCAATTTAACAACCGCTTACAAATGCGCAGTTTGCATTCATTTTCGTCAACAATGGCAAATCGGACGTCCGTACCATTCAATTTCACTTTGGGTCATTCTAAATAACAAAGTTTTCATTCATATTCGCCTATCTTTACAAACCTATGGTAAACATGGTATATGCACATGTTTCTCATCTAAATTAAACAAATGAGTTATATAACATGCCTAGATGTCTTGCCCGTCAACATGTAGAGGATTAAACAACTGTATATATATAAGATTGGACATCATCTTACTGATGTTCTCGTCACTGACTTTATCGTACTCGGTCGTCTTTTGGAAGTGATATATATTACGTAGACGAACATGATAATGTCATGCATGATGTAATTATGATCATTAAAATATATATAAACAAAACAAGATATCAGATTGTATACGTGTATTCTTTAGTTTATGTCCACATGACATGAGTTATTGAGATGTGCGCACAGTGAGACAACAATGTATCAAACTCATTGATGATTGTGTAGCGTGATCATGATTGTAATTGAGATGGTGATTACGATTGTGACTGAGATGGTAGTTGTGACTGTGATCACGATCGTGATTGTGATTCAGTGTGATGGTGATTCAGATTTTGATGTGATTATGATTGTGATTGAACTGATACTCATTGATTGTTCTTAACATGTTCAATACAGACTAAATATAATTTACACAAATATAAATGGCTTCAAAGAGATTACGAACATCGAATAAATTATCAAAAACAAAACAAAACAAAACATTTAAAATAAATCAATGTATAGAGTATTGATACCCCCTCCCCCACCATTACGGTACGCCACTCCAATAAATACAACCGTAGTTTGTAAACATACACTTTACATGCACTTATATCATTGCATATTCATAAAAAGACACTCTTGCTTAGTTCCATGCTAATTCTATATTGATGTGGCTAGGTTTTTATCTACTTAACCCATTGGCCACTGAAATTTCTTATTTCCATAGGCTCAATACAGTAGCCACCCGGTTCCAGTAGGTAAAGGGTTAACACATGATCGTTCAGTTCCTAAATAGTGATGATTTAGTGGGTATACATATACATGTATTGTACACCCATAGTGAGGACAAAATAACATGTTTGTTGCTTACCAAATCATACAATTTGAGATGGATTTAGCATGGAACTAAGCTTGCGGGGTTCTATATATGATCATACTGGGTAAGATTTACATGTTTAATTTGTCTGCAAAACGTGTGAAACTGTATGCAAAGAAACGAATTTGAATTCACGGAAGACGCTATTACGTAATCGCGAATCGTCTCGCTTTAAATTGAATGAAAATTTTACGAAAAAGAAACACGTTTTAATTCGAATGAAAATGAAATGTTTTTGAATGATCGTTTTAGGAAATTAAATGCTAAAAAACGAATTTGAACGAAAAATAACAGCTGCGGTGACAGAATCGGCGAAATTGAATGAACATAAAATGAATTTGTGTGGCCAACTTACGAAAGTGACCGAGAAATCCTATATTATTATAATCATGAAGTTTTTTATCGTTATGCATGCACATAATCAAGAAACTAAGGTTACCTGTTCACGATTCTATTACATATGGTGTTTTAAATATTATGATAATCAAAAAGGTCTGATTGTCATGCACAATGTTATAATCAAGAAACTAAGGTTACCTGTTTACGATTCTATTCCATATGGTGTTTTAATTATTATGATAATCAAAAAGGTCTGATTGTCATGCACAATGTTATAATCAAGAACCTAAGGTTACCTGTTTACGATTCTATTCCATATGGTGTTTTAATTATTATGATAATCAGAAAAGTTTGATTGTCGTGCACTAATCAAGAACATAAGGTTACCTGCTTACAACTCTATTCCAAATGGTGTTTTAATTATTATGATAATCAGAAAAGTTTGATTGTCATGCACATAATCAAGAACCCAACGTAACCTGTTTACAATTCTACTATTCCAAACGGTGTGAAGTTTATTGTAGCTTGTTTTATATGCTAAGGAGTATAATCAATCCATCGGAGTGAAAACATGATTGGAATTAGTACATACAATCCATGATTGTGCAAATCGATATCTTGGGCAGGCAACGTTTGGTCAGATTTTAGCTTTATATTTAAACAACGTTTTTGCGTAACTTTTTAAAGTTTTGTTAACAAAAAAAAACCTTTATAGACGCCCTGTATATATTTGAAATGTTGGTTTATTTTGCTGAGAGAATATAAACAAATTGTTGCTGAGACATGTTGAAGAAAAATGGTATAATGGAAAAAGGAATAGATTACACTTTTCTGCTCATTATTGAATACAGGGAGGGGAAGTCCACCCTGATTTTAAGTTAGCTTCATTAGAAGCAGAACAATAATTAGGGTTTTCTGTTGTACGCAGAAAAATCTGAATTTGTTATTCCTTCATCAATATTCGACTTTAAACGCATTTGTTTTGTAATTTGTAACCGATCTACACTTTGTTGGCGGAAAAATCGCAACTTCCCCTACGTTTCTTCTTTCTCTTTTTTTCCTCTTTCCCTTTCTATCCGCATTTTTGTTTTGCCCCGGAAATTGAAAAATTACGTCGTTCAGTGGCTTGGGGGGAAAGAACACTTTTTTTCAACAACAAAAAATCTTTCCCCTTTTTTTTTCCTTTTTTCCCCCTTTTTTTTTTCCTTCTTTTTCCCCTACTTTTTTTTCCCCAGGGGGGGGGGGTACCCCCACCCCCTGGATCTGTCACTGCCTATATAGTAGGCCTACCTAATATTAATTATTTATGCTCTTAAATGAATTAAGTTGATCAATTACCTAATGTTAGTTGTACAGATGGGTTTTAGGCAGGTCAGGGGCGGCGGAGCGTCTTCCAAAGCGGGGGGGGGGGGGGGGGGAGCGTCACCAAAAAGACACTTTCTGGAGAAATAAATGGGTACCTACAAAGGAAAACCTCAAAGCTAAAATATACACATTTGTACAATGGTATATATACCCCTCCATATACCACAAAAGGGCACTTGTCAAAGTTAAAGGGGCATCTCTCAGATTTCTATAGGGGCGATAACAGGAGTAATGGTGACAAGGCGCGGGCACTTACACAAATGTGGAAAGGGCACCTATACAAATGTGGAAGGGCATCCGGCCGGGTATTCGAAAGAAAAGTTGGCACCTATAAATATCTGTAGTAAAAGGAGCACATAAAGACAATTCGTTGTGAGCAACATGATCGCTCTTTGCTCAAGCTAAACTCTTTGCTCAACTATTTGCGTCCCTTATCTCTCTGGGAGCCTCTCTGTTCTAATTATTCATGAGTCTGCACACACAAAAAGTTGTAGTTACAGAAGAGTGGTCAGTTCGAAGAAAAGCACGCGAGCATATTGTAGGAAAAAAATGTTCCGGCTGTAGTCAATACGTTTATTTTTATTTTTTTCTTTCTTTTACTTGTTTTTTTTTAATCAATAAATTTACCGTGATATAGTCCACTTTTAATTAATGATAAAATGCATCCAAGTACTAGTACCAGTGAAAAGGAAGAGGATAGATAGGAGTGCGAAACATACATTAAAACTGCCAAATAAGCCAAGGCGTGGGATCTTTTCAACTTTATGACCATTTTGACCCTGAAATTTCATGCGAGTCACATTTTCCATATTTCATGATTAGAAATACTATGGGAATTGTAATCAACTGCATTATTTTTGAAAATAGAGGCATCAATCCCTGGGATTTATGCGGGTAGCTAGCTGTTCGACTATTGTGAGTAGCATCTTTTCCACGTACACGCGCGCGTACATCATCAAATTAGTTGCCTTTTACATAATTTCAAGGAAATGCTTGCATGGGGAGATCGATGTGCCATCATCTTAGAACCAAGCAGACGACTTTATCAAAAGCATGCATACAGGCGCGGATCCAGGGGGGGCGAGCGGGCCTTGCCCCCCCCCCCCCCCCGCAAAAAAAAAAAAAAAAAGGAGAGAGAGAGAGAAGGAAAAGAAGGGAAAGGAAAAGAGGAGAGAAAGGGGAAAAAAGAAGAGGAAGGAGAAAAGAAAAGAGGAAAGAAGGAGAGGGGGGAGGACTTGCCTCCCAGGCTGTTGCCTCCCCCCTCCCCCCCAAAAAAAAAAAATCAAAAAACAAAAGAGAAGGAAGGAAAGGGAAAGAAAACAGAAAAAGTGGAGATAAAGGGAAGGACAAAAGAGGAAGAAGAAAAGAAAAGAAGGGGGGGGGGATATCAGTTGCAATTTTCCCGCCAACAAGTTGTGGATCGGGGGGGAGGCCCTAGCCTCCCCCCCCCCCCCGTCCCCGCTAAAAAAAAAAAGAGAGAGAAGGAAGGAAAAGGAAAAGAGGAGAGCTAAAAGGAAACAAAAAAGAGGGGGAAAAAAAGAAAAGGGAGAAAAGAAGCGGAGATCAGTTGCGGTTAATCCCGCCAACAATGTGTGGAGCGGGGTGGGGACCAAAATGACCTTGCCCCTCCCCTCCCCTCCCCTCCCCACCCCCCCCCCCCCCCAGCAAACCTAAAAGAGAGAAAAGAAAGGTAAGGGATATCAGTTGCAATTTTCCCACCAACAAGGTGTAGATCGGAGGGGGGGGGGGCACTGGCGTACTGATAGGGGAGGGGTGGGGGGGGGGGCTAAAAAAAGTAAAAAAAGTAAAAAAAAAAAAAGTCTCGGGAAGGTTACAATTGGGCTATTCCCCTCGGCAAGCCTCGGGGAATAGCACAATTCTAACCTTCCCTTGAGCGTAATAAAACAACTATTTCTCTCAAAGCAGTCATTAATACTATACCAATATTTGGCTCGCATATAATTTCAAATTTGGGCCTTCCCCCCTAAGAAATCCTGGATCCGCGCCTGCATGCATATATCTATGTAAAAATGACGCCTGGTTGGAATGCTCCCCAGGGAGTGGAGAATGTGCATACATTGTGTGCCGGTAAACCTGAATCCGATGACCGGGGTAATAATATGTATATCTGTATAGCGCTTTGAGAGGGCCTTCGGTCCTGAAAAGCGCTTTATAAGAATTAGCTATTATTATTATTATTATTATCAGGGAGGTGAGACTTTAAACTCACATGCCCTGTTATTATCTATATTCCCTCAGTTGATTTTTGTTGTTGAATGAAGCCGATTTAAAAAAAAAAATCCCATTTATCCCTTCTCTCGTTCAAATATCAGGCTTTGAACAGATTGAAAAGGTATGAAATATCCAGAAAGAGTAGCTTTTCGAGCTTCCATTTTTTTTTCATTCCCAATGCAGGGGCGGATCTAGGGGCGGGGGTCGGCGGTTTAAACCCTCCACCCCCCCGGCCCCCCTTGGGCGGCCAAGTGAGAAAAAAAAGTAAAACGGCGCGATTTAAAAAAAATCCTGGATCCGCCACTGGGTCAATTAAAGCCCCCCTTGCCCTTGTCAAAAAGCTAGATCCGCCCCTGCAAAGCAATTTACGTAGCATATGCAATCTAGATTTTGCCTCGCCGATTTTAGCTACTACGAAAGTAAAGCAGAGTACATTGTCTCTGGTCTATAAAGTACTTCCGTACCGGTACCATACGTAAGCTTAAATCACCTGAGCTGAGGTAACGTAATCGACGATAAATATTTCGTAATTTCTGTGTAGGGTAGGCCTAACTTTAATTCGTTGTTCTCATCTCAGGCACTTCGTCTTCGTCAAACGTAAAATACGGTATTTTTTGTACAGTGCTGTTATTTGGGAATTCATTATCTCACTAACATTGAATTTCTAGCCAAGAATCTTCAGGAGCAAAGGAGGCAGATTAAGATTGCGACTAGTCTAGCTCGGTCTAGGACAAAGTGGGAGGAAGAAGAAGAATATCTAGCCCGACCTTGCTGGCTTGACTTGACTTGAGGACGTAGTCTACAGCTGCGCTGCCCCGCCGTCCACTGCACCGCCTACCGACCGGTACCGAAGGCGAAGCGAAGCTCACGTCGCGCCGCTGCACTGCTTCGCATTCAAGGCCAAGGGGTGGTATTCTAAACAGTCTTGTATTAAGTTTTATTGTAAGTTTTATTAGACCTCTACATCTTCTGGAGATAAAAGAGCGCTAAAATTGTTGTAATTCAACATTCTGAAAATTCTTTCAGTGGTCTATTATCTCTGGAGCTGGAGAGACCGCCAGCTTTCTCCATGTCATGTTCTCTGAGTCAGACTCAGACTTAACTTAGACCCTAGACAGAAATAACCATCTGATTTGGGTCATTTCTTTAATTGTCATTCCCCATTACAATTCTATAATCGGAGGTCTAGTGGAGCCAGACGTAGTCTCAGTGGAACAACTAACGGTTAGAGAGACTGAAGTTTTCGGTCTAACTCAGAGACTCGGTCAGAGTCTAGTCTAGATCTGCAGATTGCACCACTGCTGACAGTGACAGTGACACTGACAGTGACAGTGACATGCTGATTTTTTTTGAGATATTTGTGATTTGAGATTTTGACAAATTTGTATAAACTTCTTATATACCAATTAATTCAAGATCTAGGTGAACCAACAATACTAAGATTGAATGCTCTTAAGTTTAGGTAAAAAGACACGGATGGATGTACATTTCATGCTCTCGATCAGCTCAGACTCGGGGCTCTGTGTCAGTGTGTGCATATTTATTGAATATTGCCATGCATTAATTGCTTCTGGTTTTGGGTGTAATGTATATGCGCTAGACTCGCGGTTTTTGTACTCAATTCAACCAAACGGTTCCTCTATGCTCCTATCCCACTCGAATTAAGTCGCGTATTGATGTATGAATATATTGCAGATGCTGAGCAAGAAAAAATGCCTCCATCATGAGTAGAATATGAGTATGAGTAGAATACCCGACGCAGAACTGAGCCAGACAAACTTACCAAGAAGACGCCCAACTACGAGAAGGAAGAAAATGAAATTGAACTGGAAGCCCAACTGCTGAGAACACAGCATTCTTCCAGAATCTCGGGTAAAGGGTAAAGATAACAGTCTACCCTGTTGTAAATATTTTTGTAATTTCCATGAAAGATAAGAGAAAATTATCATTGTGAAAAATGAAAATCATGTTCTTCCATTTTGTCTGCATTCTTTGCAGGAGTTAATTAATTCTGCAAACACGTCCTACAGCAAGACAAGATGGTGAAGATACGATACACGATGCCATTTTGGAGATTCAGTACATTTGCAAGGTTTCTGGTGTTCCTGGATGGTGCGCTATCCCTTGCTCTATGGGTGACGGGTGAGTTTTCCCTTTTCATATTTTGCATTAAAATTTTTTGATTTTTTTTTAAATTGTCATTTCACAATCACCAGTTTCTCATTTCTTCATGAAATTGATGTATTCCTATCACTATCACTTGCTTGTCAAGTTAAACAGATTCTATGTGTGGGTTGAATTGAACTTTTAATGATGATTATAGACTTTTTTCATATCCGCTTCTGTATTCGCATTTAATAGTAAGGGAAGGCAACTTTATTATCACTCGCGTTCGTCCGGGTTCGGGACGCCTACTTATCTCTTAATCCCCCGTTCCCGGACGCGTATCGTACGCTGGCGGTCCCTTGGCGTCCCTTGCTCACGTCTATTGTTGTCTGTTGGACAATAGACAAGGCAGCCAGAAAAGAAGCCATCCCGTCCGCTAGGACCGCTGTCAATCAACCTCACCGCTATCCATCCCCTCTCTAATCCTTTCTAATCTGGCGTCCCCTGACAATAGCTGACCCGTCTAGAACGCGTTAATCTGGTGTTCCCTGACAATAGTTGCACCCGTCTAGCTCGCGTTTATAAATACATGATAGTAGATTTTCATAGATGAATTTTCAGTCTTGAAAGCAGAGCTAGAGCTGCAATCCTCCCGGGTTGATTGATAATAATTTGTCTAAAAAATGTGTCGCGCGCTAAAATAATAAACCTCACCAGCAACGCCTCAAGTCTTTATACATACAGCCGCATATTGTAAAAGCTTCTTGTGCGACACTGCAAATATATAAATCATATTTAGTAGTGTCTGTATTCCCCAACCTATTAATCAGTACTGCATTGCGTGTATCAGCAATTCGTGCATTTCACAACACGTGGAGAGCCCCCTAAAAGGCGGTCACGTGATCTGAGCCCGACAGAGCTGGGTTTTTTTAGTGCGTGTAGTAAAGATACCGCCACACTCGAAGGGCTTGCGATAAGCGAAAAAAATCTTTACAAAATCTCTGATTACTTGAATTTAAGCGCTTTTTGGCGAAGCCGTTTTTTTTAAAATTGGGCTAAGCCACTGCGTGCTTCGGAAATATGGCTCCGATTCCGCACTTTTGACAGTAAAATTTGGCTTTTGGGGTGGATTCTTGGAAGTGACATCGAGATTTTCTTGTACTAGTGAGTGACGCTGTGTGTAGTGCAGTGCACTGATATGCAATTTGCGTGTGTTGTGGATGCTGGTTTGATATCACGATCGGATGCATGTGTGTATGAATGGCCTGGGGTAATGCGCACGTCTTTGAGTGGTGTACATCCCCTGTGTTGTGTGTAATCACTGACCTCTGTGTGTAATATGTGCATTCGTGCGCGCCGCAGGAATTGCCAACACACAACATTGGCACAACAATGCATATTTCTTATGTCGGGGTTATTCAAAAATAATGATGGTGATATAAATATGACAAAGATAATAATTATCACAAAAGCGAGAGAAGTTCTCATTCACGTGATAGGACAGTAGTTTTTGGTTGGAGTTTATGACAAGAATAATAACTAGAATTTAAATCGTCACGAGGACGATTAAGGTGGTCTGTCTTCAAGTCTTATGATAGATTATAATACTTACTATATTGAGAAAGGGAGAAGTTATATAGACATGTAAACAATGATGATCATCATGATGATCATGATGATGATGATCTTGATAGTAATGTAGATGACGATGTTGATGATGATGATGATGATCATGATGATGTTGATGATGATCATCAACAGACCATGATGACATCTGATTGAAAAAAATGAGGGAACATTTAGATAGCATATAGTCTCAGCTACAACATACTCCAAAATCAACAAAAACCAAACGGAAATAACGGCGATATTGCTCGCAAAAGACAGGAATGTAGAATCCAGATTTGAGAAAAAGTCATCTCCCATAGGGACTACACTCAAAAAGTAATGGATCAAGTGATAATAGGGGAATAATAAAGTAAACATGGTTGTTTATAACATTATTTGTGATTCTACGTGTTTTAATAAGCAAAGGAAAAGGTACAGTGAAAGGTCAAAAAGAAAAAAAAGTGAAGAAAAAAATTGTTGGAGACGCCCGGACTCGAACCAGGGACCTCGAGGTCGGAAGTCAAGTGCGTTACCGATGTACCAAAATATTTCCCATAGAGATTACACGTAAACGGAAAATGGAATTATCAAATCCCACTTTGTAAGTGAAATATGAGCATGATCCCGGCATCTGATCGAAAATTAAAGGGCACACTTACGATAGCATATTGACTCAGCTACAACATACTCAAAGCTCAGCGTAAACGAAGATAAAACGACGGAGATATTGCTCGCGAAAGACAAGAATGTAGAAACCAGTTTTGAGAAAAAGTCATGTCCCATAGAGAATACACGCAAAATGTGAAAAATTGACATGCCTCCTTTAATCGCAAAAATACGCCATGATGCCATTGTTCAAATGAAATATCGTGGAGAATACATTCGTAGAGAATATTCTCAGCTAAAACATATCAAAATTTGAAAGAAAATTGATCAATATTTACAGAGATACAATCAATTTTCCAAAAATCTGCTAACGTCATAATATGCAAATTGAAATTTTAAGTTCGGAGGCCATTATGATGACGTCATGAGTTAATTGAGGGTCAAATGAGACATGAAATCATATCTCCGACTCATGATCTATCTAAATATGAAAAAAATTGGGGGTATCTATCCATTCTGAAGAGTTAAAATGAATTTTGTATAGGCTTGTTTTTGCACATGTAATGTGGATAGGGATAATGCAGATCCGCGTGTGCTGTAAACTTTGACGGACGCTCATTGCGTTATCACTGGTCAGAAAAAGGTGAACAAGGTATCAAAATGCTTGGAAAAATGTGGTTGATATGATAGAGAAAATTTGGCGTTTCCATGTTGTAAAATGTCAGTACGCGCACTTACGCGCGGAAACGCGCGCAAAAAAGTGCTCTCGCGCAAAATCTTGAAAATGCTTACAATGGCCTGAAACGTGTGCAAAAAAAATTTGGGACGAATTTGAGCATTTTAAAATTTTAATGCGCGCGTACGTGCGCGTCGAGGTGCGCGCGCAAATTTTGTTGACATTTTTAGTTGAACTTTGACCTGAAGTTGATGTATACCAAATATGGTTTATTTTTGAAGACTCGTTATCGAGATATGATAATGACTTGATTTTTACAAAATGGCGCCTGGATGACGTCACGATGACCCCATGAACTTGAAAAAGGTTTCGGGAACTTCATATCATAGGGCCTGATGACTAGCAGAAATTTGAAGGAAATTGACCAGGTCGAGTTCGAGTAAACGTATACACAAAAAAAGTGTACGGAATAAATAAAAATAAATAAAGAATAAAGAATAAAGAATAAAGAATAAAGAATAAAGAAAGAAAATTCTAACGAAATCAATAGGTGATCTGTCATCGACAGACCACCTAATAATCACGAAGACGATAGAAGTTCTCATTCGTGTGATAGGACCATATTTCTTTTGTCGGGGTTATGTAAATGAGGGTGATATAAATATATGACAAGAATAATAATAATCACAAAGACGATAGAAGTCCTCAATTGCGTGATAGGACCATATTTCTTTTGTCGGGGTTATGTAATGAGGGTGATATAAATATATGACAAAGATAATCATTATAAAAACGAGAGAAGTTCGCATTCATGCGATAGGACAGTAGTTTTTGGTTGGAGTTTATGACAAGAATAATAATAATCACAAAGACGATAAGAGTTCTCATTCGTGTGATAGGACCATATTTCTTTTGTCGGGGTTATGTAAATGAGGGTGATATAAATATATGACAAAGATAATCATTATCATAAAAACGAGAGAAGTTCGCATTCATGTGATAGGACAGTAGTTTTTGGTTGGAGTTTATGACAAGAATAATAATAATCACAAAGACGATAAGAGTTCTCATTCGCGTGATAGGACCATATTTCTTATGTCGGGGTTATTCAAAATAATGAGGGTGATATAAATATATGACAAAGATAATAATTATCACAAATGCGAGAGAACATTCACGCGATAGGACAGTAGTTTTTGGGTGGAGTTTATACAAGAATAATAATAATCACAAAGACGATAGAAGTTCTCATTCGTGTGATATATAGGACCATATTTCTTTTGTCGGGGTTATGTAAATGAGGGTGATATAATATATGACAAGAATAATAATAATCATAAAAACGAGAGAAGTTCGCATTCAGGTGATAGGACAGTAGTTTTTTGTTGGAGTTTATGACAAGAATAATAATAATCACGTAGACGATAGAAGTTCTCAATCGCGTGATATAGGACCATATTTCTTTTTTCTCGGGGTTATGTAAATGAGGGTGATATAAATATATGACAACAATAATCATAAAAACGAGAGAAGTTCGCATTCACGTGATAGGACAGTAGTTTTTTGTTGGATTTTATGACAAGGATAATAATAATCATAAAAACGATAGAAGTTCTCATTCGCGTAATAGGACCATATTTTTTGGTTGTGGTTCATGTAAATGAGTATGATAATACAGTATGTTTGGCAAGGATAATAATAATCATAAAGACGATAGAAGTTCTCATTCGTGATAGGACAGTAGTTTTTGGTTGGCCGATTTTATGACAAGGATAATAATAATCATAAAGACGATAGCAGTTCTCATTCGCGTGATAGGACCATATTTCTTTTGTCGGGGTTATGTAAATGAGGGTGATATAAAATATATGACAAAGATAATAATTATCACAAATGCGAGAGAACTTCTCATTCACGTGATAGGACAGTAGTTTTTTGTTGGATTTTATGACAAGGATAATAATAATCATAAAAACGATAGAAGTTCTCATTCGCGTAATAGGACCATTTTTTTTTGGTTGTGGTTCATGTAAATGAGTATGATAATACAGTATGTTTGGCAAGGATAATAATAATCGTAAAAATGATAGAAGTTCTCATTCACGCGATAGGACCACTGTTGGGGTGTATGTAAATGAGGATGATATAAATATATGACAAAGATAATAATAATCACAAAGACGATAGAAGTTTTCATTCACGTGATAGGACCATAGTTTCTTGTTGGGGTTATAATGTAGATGAGGATGAAAGAAAATAATAATCATAAAAACAAGTCAAACATTCAGTGCAGAGGTTAGCACACTGGCAGGCGAAGAGAGGGTGCGAGAGGAAGGGGAAGAGGGAACAAGAGAGAGAGAGAGAGAGAGAGAGAGAGAGTGACAGAGAGAGTGAAAGAGAGAGCCTGGGTCTATATTTCGGAGAGGGTCCATGTGGTGAAAATGATTATTTTCGAAACTTCCAAGGGTATGATGAACATTACAACGAACTTCTGTAGGAAAGAGAGACATTTTCATAATTCCTGCAAAGTTCTACAGAATTTGAGGTTGGCTGCAAAAGGGACATAGTACCTTTAAATACAGGCAGCTTGGAACTAATAATTGATTTATTAATTACTGTTTAATTCACTAAAAAAAAATTCAGCGGTGGAGATTGGTTAAAGATATTCCTATAGCATCTTGTTTATAACATCAAAGAGTTTCAGATGAATTAAATATTTTTATCAACACTTTGTAATACCTTTATATCATTTAGACTCGTGGCCATTAAAAAAGGGGGGGGGGGGGTGTGATCAATTGAGAGAGAAGAGCTACAATTATAGTAGCCCACATTTGCACACCCCTCCCCGTTTTTTGTCGAACTTCCATGGGTACAAGGTATTATGCATGAACATACTCCTGTTTAAATTTGAGAACAAACGGACCAGTCTTTTGTATATATATGAAAAAGATTTCTGATTTCTTATTTCCAATTTAAATGGTCCGTTTGCTCTAATAATTATTGAACAATGTTGTTCCCATGCCACATGATGGCATTGCTCTTAATAATGACAGATTTATTATGACATCATTCCCGTCACGAGTATGTCCAGAGTCGGCGCTCTCATAACAAAGGCGTAAACAATCGTAAATAAATCAGTGTTTTGGGACTTTGGTGGTGATTGATATGACGCCTCCTTTGAATTCTGAATGAGCAATAAGCACAAACATTACCTACACTACAGAAGAAAGTGTAGTAGGTCCATGATTATAGAAAGAAGGAGATAGTGGTAATATAGAGAGAGGGAGATTAGAAAGGAGACAGTGTGGAATAAAGAGAGAGAGAGAGATACAATTTGGGGTGGAGGTGGGGGAGGGACATACATTAGTGCCTCCCACCTTTTGGTAAATCCAGGATACGCCCCTGCTCTATTGTAACTATTTGTATACAAAATTATTGACATTTATTTTGTTTTGAAATAAATCCAATTTTATTTGTAAACACTAGCACTGGCGGATCCAGGGGGTGGGGGGGGGGGGGTAATATTTATTATGACATGGTAATATGGTGTACAATAATTGTTCCCACGATATCGGAAGATTTCAAAAGAAAATAACTAGCGCGTAAATTACAAGCAGCCGAGTGTCGGTATCATTTACAAGCGTGTCAATAACAACGTGTCCAGAATGAGTGAAGTGGAGATGTAGATCTATCTTTGCCTTCCTGTTGGTTTTACTTTTCCCTTTTCTTGATTTTTTTTGTACAATGCATTTTTGTATTTATTTAGTCGCCCTTTGTACCTGCCATCTTTCCGTCTCCCGATCCTTTCTTTCTTCTTGAACTCTTAATATTTCTTTATTTATATCTTCATCACCAGGCGCGTACGCAGGGAGGGGCGGGGGTTGTGTGTGTACTAATGGGTGACCAAAAAACATGACCTTACTCCCCCCCCCCCCCAAACAAAACAAAATATCGGTCGGCCAAATTTTCGGGGAAAATGTACTCGTTGCGAAATTTTGATCAAATCCAGGAAAAAAAAAAAAAGTGCTCCTATACCCCCTCCCGTCTGTCATTGCGAAATTTTCGGCGCAATTTATACCCCCTCCCCCTGCGAAGAAATCCTGCGTACGCCCCTGTTCATCACTTACTTCATCTAATTGTGTAATTCCATCTCTTAGATTTTTGTTTCCAATGATTTATATGATAACATTATTATATCGTTTTTTTCAGAATTTCATTGAAATCAGAAATTTGAATTGTGTTCAAGACTGTGCGAATTCATTCTGAAACCTGAAATGCATTATGAATACCCGACAGGCCAAAGTCAGGGACAGAATAGGTACTCTTTAATATTGCGCCGAAATTGTCGATGGGGGTAGCATTAGAGAGATCGAGGGGTCAATCTTTGTGCTCTATTCACCATCTCTCATACACACTCTCTCTCACTTTCTTTCTATCTAGAATTATCATTCCATCACCTCATCTTTCAACATCAACCATCTCTTGCATCCTCTATCCTTTTCATTTATTTTTTATTTTCTTCATTTTTTCTCAATCTGTTGTGCTTTCCCCTACTCTATTCACCATCTCTCTCATATCCACTCTCTGTCTTCTTTTATCATTTCACTTTTCAACATGAGGTGGTAAAATGATAAAAGAAAGAAAGTGAGAGGGAGAGAGATGGTGAATAGAGTAGGGGAAAGAACAAAGATTGAGAAAGAATGAAGAAAATAAAGGGTGAGAAAAACAGAAAACAAAAATGTTTAGATAAGAGAATGGGAGAGATAAAGGAGAGGAGAATTAGATAGAACGAGGGGTAAACATTAAATGAAAATGAATGAAGAGGATGCAAGAGATGGGGGGTGTTAACAGAATGAGGAGGTGGTGAAATGATAATAGAAGAAAGTGAGAGGGAGGGAGATGGTGAATAGAGTAGGGGAAAGCACAAAGATTGAAAAAGAATAAAGAAAAATAAAGAGTGAGAAAAACAGAAAAGTGAAAGGGATAGATAAGAGAGTGGGAGAGAGAAAGAACGAGGGGGCAAATATTACATGAAAATGAACGAAGAGGATGTAAGAGATGGGGGATGTTAACAGATGAGGTGGTGAAATGATAATAGAAGAAAGTGCGAGAGGGGGAAATGAGAGATATAGAGTAGGGGAAAGCACAAAGATTGAGAAAGAATGAAGAAAATTAAGGGTGAGTAAAACAGAAAAGAGATAGATAAGCGAGTGGGAGAGAGAAAGGCTGAGAGGAAAATTGGAGAGAACGAGGGTTAAATATTACAAGAAAATGAATGAAGAGGAAGAAAAAGGATGCAAGAGATGGCGGATGTTGAAAGATGTGGTAGTGAAATGGTAAAAAAATATAAAGTAAGTGAACTCAAAAATGACAAGAACCAAGTAAAAAGTGACTACGGTAAAACATTCTTATTTTATTTAGAAATAAAACACATTTACAAATGTACATAATTACATATTTACAAATGTACATAATTACATATTTACAAATGTACATAATTACATATTTACAAATGTACATAATTACATATTTACAAATGTACATATTTACAAGATTTATGTACATAATTACATATTTACAAATGTACATAATTACATATTTACAAATGTACATAATTACATATTTACAAATGTACATAATTACATATTTACAAATGTACATAATTACATATTTACAAATGTACATAATTACATATTTACAAATGTACATATTTACAAGATTTATGTACATAATTACATATTTACAAATTAACAATCTCCGGTCAACTACAACGTCTAGGGTCCTTGAGCCCTCAAAGCGTGTCCAACCTTCCTACACTTCGTGTTGACCGCTTCACGGATCTCTTTCTGAAACGAAGTCGTTGCCGTAGAGCCCGGAAACTGCTGACTGACTTGGGCGATGATGGCCTGGAACGCCGGCTTTCGTTTGAGACTCTCCTTGGTGACCCACTCCTTACCCGTGAACACTTCCCCACCGCGGAAGTTGCTCCTCGCCAACTCCTCCCTAGTAAAAACCTTGGTGAGCAGCCTGATGGTCAGGGATTTGGGACCTGAACATCCCCGATGTGCATCGTCGTAGTCCAGCTGGTCCATGGCGATGGTGTTACCCTCTGCTCCAATCAGGACCCTCCCATTGCCGAGCTGGAAGTATTCTGGCGAGGACCTGGCTGGGGCCTCGCGCCGGTTTGCCTGCAGTTCATCCCGGAGTCGTTGGTTCTCCTGCTGTAGATAATGCACCATGCCCCAGGTAGGCTGCTGATGGGCTGGTGGATACGATGCGTAGTGGTGATTGCCGTTGAAGTTTGCCTGCTGGTAGGTAGGGATCGGATGCAGTGGCTGGTTGTAGATGGGTTGCTGGGTGATAGGGACCGATGATGACGACGAAGCTGGTTGGTTCTCCTCAAAATCACTGGGAACGTCGTACATGTCGACTGGATCGGCGACTTCGACGGGGTCGGCGACTTCGACGGGGTCGGCAACTTCGACGACTGCGACGGGGTCGGCAACTTCGACGTCTGCGACAGGATCGGCGACTTCGACGACTGCGACTGGGTCGGCGACTGCGACGGGTTTGGTGACTTCGACGACTGCGACTGGGTCGGCGACTTCGTCGAGGTCGACGACTGCGACGGGGTCGGTGACTTCGACGACTGCGACGGAAGCGGCAACTTCGACGACTCTGACGGGTGCGGCAACTTCGACGGGGTCGGTGACTTGGGGTGGTTCGGGGTCGGCGACTTCGACGGGGTTGGTGACTTGGGGTGGCTCGGGTTCGGCGACGGGGTTAGCGGTGGATGATGAGTCCCAAACCCACCCCTTGGGTAAGCCACGGATGCTCCGCACCTGACGACGTCTCACCTGGAAGCTTTGGCTTTTCTCTGCAAAAAAAAAACAAGAAGAAAACGAGACAATAAGTACAAATGCCAAAATCGCCTTGTCGGGTACGCAAAAAGTTTTACACATCAATTCACAGAAGTATATTCAATTTCAATTTAATTTATTTATAAAACATACATAATTATATTTATAACATTGGCATTTACATTGATAAGTAAAGAACATACAAATAACGAAACGAAAGATGAACATAAAATACAAATATATATACGAATGAGGAACCAGCAAGAAAGAACATTTAAGTCTGGTCCCTTGCGACATAATAAAGAATTTTAACTTAACACCTTACATCTAACACCTGATTGCATACATATAAAAACTAATAAAATACTATTCACAAAAACGTAATTGTTTGTATCTCTTTTTAAATGTATTCAGAGTTGGGCTTGCTTTTAAATTTGTTTGAAAGACTAGGAGGGATAATTATCTCAACATTTTTCCAATTTGAAAAGTGTAAATAGTACTTACTAACTGACAAGATCTTCGCTTTGTGTTGCAATCTCTTATACGACACAAACACCTCCATTCCTGGTATCAGCTCCCCGGTTTTCCGCACTCGGCTCCTAACAACCGTCTCCTGGACACCTCTCCACTTGCTAACAAGCCATTCAACGTTCACTGTTGTCATTATTGCGTTTAGAGTTCGGTTCAAGTTCGATAAAATCAAAAAGGTAACTGATACCTTTTGCTTTAACGGTCCGGAATATATAGTCGAAATAGAAGCGCGATCGCAGTGGCCTTTCTCAATTAGCGCGTCACTATTGTGCCGACTTTAAGTTAAAGCCTACTTTATTGGCAGCGATTAGCATTATCGGTAATTTCAATAGCATCAGAGGGAATCGGTGATCATGGCCATGACATTAATAGAAGGGCTTACCCGGATTCTCCTGTTGTTATTACTTTCATAGGAAAAGGCCTATTCATAAATCTGCGTTAGTTTCCACCTAAAAAGGGGACGGGCTTGAAAAACATAATGCCAGTGACATGGTATAGGGATGTCTTTTCAACATTTAATAACTGTAAGTGTATATGCAGATATTCATAAACCAACATAGTGGCAACTAAATCTTGATATGCCGTTGTCAAATCAGAGTAATTTCCCTGTACAGTATATATCAGGTTCGGGATAATTATAATTCTTTTCCTTGGGCATCTGAAACCGTGCTACCTGTACGTATTCAATTATGAAAAGTCGCCTTAAAGTAAACTTGGAACATTGTGTGTTGTCAGATTATCGGTTCAATTAGATGGATCAAAAAACAACAACCAGGGAACAAATATTTGAAAGAAATACGCGTTTATTATAAAAATATATATTATGAATACTGCACGGTTACACAAAATGGAGAAAATGGGGGTAGGTAAACCATGTCAGTGGCTGTCTTGAGCAAGAGAGTATAGATTTAAGAGCATACCGTTCATCAATAATTTTGTTGTGAAATCATGAAGAATGTTACCCGTTCATTCTAGGCAATGAGAGCACGGCAATACCTTATACATCCTTTCCCATAAATTCGCCGATATTGCCACCCATTTATTGGTTCCCCACTTTTTAGCGACATATTTAATTACGATGCACTTTAATGAAATAATATTGATGTCCTCTCTATTTCCATTTCAAAATACAACTGTCTTGTAATATTTTTAAGCAATGAGTTTTTCTTCTATCTACTTCTTTAGGGTGAGGAGAATTGTCGTTGTGTAACAGTCATCTCCCGTGTGTTACATTCTTTGCATGTGATGGAAGATGAAGAATACAATAAAAAGAACAACAAATCACGTGCTTCAATCATCAATGTATCACTTAGCTCATCACTTAAAGATAAAGTTGAGTTCTGGTCATGCGATTGCATTGTGAAAAAAACGGCGTGGAATCGATGAAAAAGTTGGTGTGTACAAAAAGGTTTTGGAATCATCAAAAGGATAACAAATTATTGTTTACCTCTTCCCAGATCTCAACTTTCTCTTTAATTCCTGCCGACGTTGCGTCATCGCGCGCAGTTAATTCAATAGTCCGTTTCACACCAAGATCAGTGACATTAGTGAAGCGCTGCGGGTTGATTGACTTATACATCTCATTCATAATTGCATGCCTTTTCAACTACCATAATTGATATCTCCAACTGAAAAAGATGGGGCTTGGGAAATATGATCACGCTAGTGACAACAAAGTGCTTTCATGTCTAAAAATTAATGCCGATAAAACTAAGTACGAATCTTGATGAAACTACATTGTTTGTGATGATTTACATTTCAACTAAGTAGTTATGAGAATTTAGAATTCGATCAGAACATTTTTTTCCCATTTTTAGCGATGATAGTGCTCTGTTTTCACTCAAACTTTCCGTTGAAGTCCCATTAATACGTGTTACAAAGGTAAAACTGTCTGAGTACGGGTGGGGAACAGATAGGAGAGTGGGGAGAGAAAAAAGGAGAGGGGAAAAGCGAAACTGAACAGGAAATATTACGGTGGAAGGGGGAAAGTACACAAAATGCAAAAGAACGAAGGAAATAAATGAGTGAAATTGGAAAGAGAAGGAGAGAGAGACAAGAGAGAGAAAGCACAAGAATGCAAAAGTGCGGGAAAGGGAAAAGAGGAAGTGATATTATTACGAAGTTGTATATGCAGGGTAAAGATTATACTCAACAGATAACAGTACAGTGTATTTGAGACTTTATTGTCGCCTTACGTTATTCTTCCATACAAAAGCTGTGTATTACACCACACTGCAATCCATGCCCATATTAATTTTTATAGCTGACCGCCGAGTCTAAATCAGAAATAACTCTAATAAATGATACCTCTAATTTTCGTATACTACGGAACTTTGAAACAACAGCTTGGTTTTCTCTTTCAAATATATACATTCGTCACAATATTTACAGCTACGAATTAGAGAGCAAGATAGAGAGAGAGAGAGATATCATAGCGAAAGAATGATGAAGGGGAAGTACAAAGCTTGCAAAAAAACTAAGTAAGTAAAAGTGGGAGTGATATTAAAGAGAGGATAGGGTGAATTTGAGCAAATAACGGCTAAGAAACAACACTAGAATAATAATCCCAAATCATTTAAAAGTATTACTCATTAAGTGATTAACATACTGAAGTTTTTACACAATTTCATAATTATTATGACAATAATACGTATGACTTTTATTTGGTGTCGTACGCACAGTGAATTCAAACGGCTTTCTATATTGGTCTAGTGAATTATCTCTGATTATACATAAGAGAAATGAGAATGGAAAATGTGTGCATATGACACGTCTGCAAAGTACTCCGATGTTTGCCAAAGAAACTTTTTAATGAAGCAATGAAAGTACAATATTTGCACAGTTTGCATTGCGAAAAGAAAAGATTCAGTGGTTCTTTTGCAGTAGTATTGTTACTATTCTCTCGCAGGAGTTTTATTTATGCGTACACTTAATTGAAAAACAAGTGAATCGCTTCGTAATCAAATTTGCTTAAAACGTGCACCAAAACAAACGACCTTTCCACCAATGTACATTAAACCGACCATGATAACAAAACTAATTTTGGGGGTATCGTTTAGAGACATTCTTAATTACAGATTCTATGAGAAAAGCACAATATTTTGAAGATGGAATTCAGACTCGGTATCAAAAGTTTAAACATTTCGTCCTTATCTGTAATTCGCTACGTCACTCTGACAGAAAGCGAGATGTCAACTAAGTACCTGTTAAATATCCAGTGAAACATCACAGGGTACCGCATCGACGAACAGAAGACATGCGTTAAACAATAGCGTTGCTTTAACATATAGTCTCTGATCAGACGCTATTGTTAAGCTACGAAAATAGTTTTGCTTTAAAAACATCTGCGTCACCCAATTCAATAGTCGGTTTCACACCTGCGGGTTGATTGACCTATACATGGGCGTAGATCTGTCATTGATACCTATTGTTCAGGGGGGATGATCTATTCATTCATCTCCCCCCCCCCCCCTGAACAATAGGTATTACGTAAGGATTACGCCCATGGACTTATACATCTCATTCATAATTGAATCACTTTTCAACTACCCGAATTGATATCTCCAACTGAAAAAGATGGGGCTTGGGAAATATGATCACGCCAGTGTCAACAAAGTGCTTTCATGTCTAAACATTAATGCCGATAAAACTAAGTACGAAACTTGATGAAACTGCATTGTTTGTGATGATAGAATTTAGAATTCGATCAGAACATTTTTTTCCCATTTTTTGCGATGATAGTGCTCTGTTTTCACTCAAACTTTCCGTTGAAGTCCCATTAATACGTGTTACAAAGGTAAAACTGTCTGAGTACGGGTGGGGAACAGATAGGAGAGTGGGGAGAGAAAAAAGGAGAGGGGAAAAGCGAAACTGAACAGGAAATATTACGGTGGAAGGGGGAAAGTACACAAAATGCAAAAGAACGAAGGAAATAAATGAGTGAAATTGGAAAGAGAAGGAGAGAGAGAAGCCCAAGATTGCAAAAGTGCGGGAAAGGAAAAAGAGGAAGGAAGTGATATTATTACGAAATTGTATATGCAGGGTTAAGACATAATACTCAACAGATAACAGTACATTGTATTTGAAGCTTTATTGTCGCCGTATTTTTTTTCTATGAAAGCTGTGTATTACATCGCACTGCAAATCCATGCCCATATTATTAAAGATAAACTTGAGTTCTGGCAAAATTCTCACAGAATAAAACGAAACTTACACTAAATGTTCAAGATTACAAATAAATGTCATTGCCAAAACAATTTTAGTAGAAAATGTATACTGGCTGAGTAATGAGCATACACAAATAAGGAAATCTAGGTTTGCAGCCCCGACACCATTTTGTGAAGTCCCATGTACATCTTTCTGTGTACAGTGCTTGTTACTTTACAAAGACTGGGCCAAATTTATTATGATTTTGATGACTCCAGAACTTTGCAGTGCAAACCAAAACTTACATGCTACATGATCAACTTTTTTTTGAACCATTCCACATTTTTTTTTCACAATCCAATCGCATGACAAGAATTCCACTTTATCTTTAATTTTATCGCTGACCGCCGAGTCTAAATCTGAAATAACTGTATTAAAATGATATCTCTAATTTTCGCATACTATATGAAACTTTGAAACAACAGCTTGGTTTTCTATTTGGAATATCTACAATCATCACAATATTTACAGCTACAAATTAGAGAGCAAGAGAGAGAAGGGAGATGTATAGAGAAAGGAATATTAAAAGGTATATATTATAAGATAGAGAGAGAGAGATCATAGCGAAAGAATGATGAAGGGGAAGTACAAAGCTTGCAAAAAAACTAAGTAAATAAAAGTGGGAGTGATATTGAAGAGAGGATAGGGTGAATTTGAGCAAATAACGGCTAAGAAACAACACTAGAATAATAATCCCAAATCATTTAAAAGCATTACTCATTAAGTGATTAACATACTGAAGTTTTTACACAATTTCATAATTATTATGACAATAATACGTATGACTGTTATTTGGTGTCGTACGCACAGTGAATTCAAACGGCTTTCTATATTGGTCTAGTGAATTATCTCTGATTATTAAGAGAAATGAGAATGGAAAATGTGTGCATATGACACGTTTGCAAAGTACTCCGATGTTTGCCAAAGAAACTTTTTAATGAAGCAATGAAAGTACAATATTTGCACAGTTTGCATTGCGAAAAGAAAAGATTCAGTAGTTCTTTTGCAGTAGTATTGTTACTATTCTCTCACAGGAGTTTTATTTATGCGTACACTTAATTGAAAAACAAGTGAATCGCTTCGTAATCAAATTTGCTTAAAACGTGCACCAAAACAAACAAACTTTCCACCAATGTACATTAAACCGACCATGATAACAAAACTAATTTTTGGGGTATCGTTTAGAGACATTCTTAATTGCAGATTCTATGAGAAAAGCACAATATTTTGAAGATGGAATTCAGACTCGGGATCAAAAGTTTAAACATTTCGTCCTTATCTGTAATTCGCTACGTCACTCTGACAGAAAGCGAGATGTCAACTAAGCACTTGTTAAATATCCAGTTAAACATCATAGGGTACCGCGTCGACGAACAGAATAAACAATAGCGTTCGCTTTAACATAGTCTCTGATCAGACGCTATTGTTAAGCTTCGAAAATAGTTTTGCTTTAAAAACATCCGCGTCACCCAATTCAATAGTCGGTTTCACACCAGATCATGACATTATTGAAGCGCTGCGGGTTTATTTGAATTTATACATGGGCGTAGATCTGTCATTGATACCTATTGTTCAGGGGGGATGATCTATTCATTCATCTCCCCCCCCCCCCTGAACAATAGGTATTACGTAAGGATTACGCACATGGACTTATACATCTCATTCATAATTGAATCACTTTTCAACTACCAGAATTGATATCTCCAACTGAAAAAGATGGGGCTTGGAAAATATGATCACGCCAGGGTCAACAAAGTGCTTTCATGTCTAAACATTAATGCCGATAAAACTAAGTACGAAACTTGATGAAACTGCATTGTTTGTGATGATTTACATTTCAACTAAGTAGTTGTTAGAATTTAGAATTCGATCAGAACAGTTTTTTCCCATTTGTATCGATGATAGTGCTCTGTTATCACTCAAACTTTCCGTTGAAGTCCCATTAAAGGGATCCGGTAAGTTTGTCTCAGATTTTGAAACAAAATCCTGGATTTAGCTCATGCTGCAATGATAATTATTAACCTTTAGGTCAGTCAGGAACCCTTTGACTTTTACAAGCCGATCGCCTGTCTGATTATCAAGATATTTATGATTGGAAATCGAAACCAAATTTTGCATTTGCCAAACGGTTTTCATTTACAGTGTATTGGGGAAAACGGGTATCGTAAACCAGTCACTCAAAGATTTTTACTTTTTTGAGGCACTTCTTCATCATTTTGAAGCGTTTTTTTTTAGGGCTTCAATATTATACCATATTACAGACACTGATAACACGCAGAGCCGTGCATCTCAGATTTTACATTGTTAAACGATGCCTTTAATACGTGCTACAAAGGTAAAACTGTTTGAGTACGGGTGGGGAATAATCATCCTAAAACTACCGTGCGCTTGAAATAGAAGGAGAGAAATATAATGGAGACACGCCAAAAAGAGAAAGAAGGAAGTGAGAAAGGATACGAGAGATGGTGAAAAGGGTAGGGTAAAGCACAACGATTGAGAAAGAATGAAGAAATAAAAGGAAAAGTGAAACAGAAAAAGGAAAGGCATAGATGAGAGAGAGTGGGAGAGAGAAAGACAGATAGGGGAAGAGCGAAACTGAACAGGAAAGATAACGGTGGAAGGGGGGAAGTACAAAAACTGCAAAAGAAAGAAGGAAATAATTGAGTGAATTGGAAAGAGAATGAGAGAGAGGATAGAGAGACAGTCGAGAGAGAGAAAGCCCAAGATTGCAGAAGTGCGGGAAAGGAAAAAGAGTGAGCGATGTTGTTACGAAATTATATATACAGGGTAAAGACATTATATACTTGACAGCTACAATTACAATGTATTTGAGAGTTTATTGTTGCCTTATTTTTTTTCTACAAAAGCTGTGTATTACATCGCACTGCAATCCATGCCAATATTAATTCTATTGCTGATCGCAGAGTCTAAATCAGAAATAAATGATACCTCAAATTTTCGTGTACTATGGAACTTTCAAGCAACAGCTTGGTTTTCTATTTCGAATATCTACAATCGTCACAATTTTTACAGCTACGAAATAGAGAGCAAGAGAGAGAGAGAGAGAGGGGGAGATGTATAGAGAAAGGAATATTAAAAGGTATATTATTAGAGAGAGAGAGAAAGAGAGATCATATCGAATGTATGATGAAGGGGAAAGACACCATAATATATACGAAGCTTTCAAAATAACTAAGTAAATACAAGTGGAAGGAATAAGAGAGGATATAGGGTGAATGGCAGCAAGCAACGGCTGAGAAACAACACTAGAATAATAACCTAAAATCTTTTTAAAGTGTTACTCATTAAGTGCTTAACATACTGAAGTTTTTACACAATTTCATAATTATTATGACAATAATACGTATGACTGTTATTTGGTGTCGTACGCACAGTGAATACAAACGGCTTTCTATATTGGTCTAGTGAATTATCTCTGATTATACATAAGAGAAATGAGAATGGAAAATGTGTGCATATGACACGTCTGCAAAGTACTCCGATGTTTGCCAAAGAAACTTTTTAATGAAGCAATGAAAGTACAATATTTGCACAGTTTGCATTGCGAAAAGAAAAGATTCAGTGGTTCTTTTGCAGTAGTATTGTTACTATTCTCTCGCAGGAGTTTTATTTATGCGTACACTTAATTGAAAAACAAGTGAATCGCTTCGTAATCAAATTTGCTTAAAACGTGCACCAAAACAAACAAACTTTCCACCAATGTACATTAAACCGACCATGATAACAAAACTAATTTTTGGGGTATCGTTTAGAGACATTCTTAATTGCAGATTCTATGAGAAAAGCACAATATTTTGAAGATGGAATTCAGACTCGGGATCAAAAGTTTAAACATTTCGTCCTTATCTGTAATTCGCTACGTCACTCTGACAGAAAGCGAGATGTCAACTAAGCACTTGTTAAATATCCAGTTAAACATCATAGGGTACCGCGTCGACGAACAGAATAAACAATAGCGTTCGCTTTAACATAGTCTCTGATCAGATGCTATTGTTAAGCTTCGAAAATAGTTATGCTTCATAAACATCCGTGTCACCTAATCCGTGCAGTCCTGCGTGATTCGCTGTTTAAGCGCCCAATCACAATCATCATGGACGCCAGAAACTCTTTTGTTAATCAAATATGATTCCCTTTCCCCACAAATTGGATACGGAAAAAGTGCTCATATCTTGATTTGCTCTCTCGATTACATGACGTGATCTCGATTTGCCTCGTCTCGATATTAGATTTTGTTATACCTAGACTT